ATGCGACCCTCAGATTGCGAGTTGTGTGCCCTAACCACCTGGCCATGCCGAGCTGTATAAGTAATGAAATGAAATATGAAGTCACGAAAACACTTTTAAGTGCTTGATGTAGTACAAGATTGGACCATCTAAACTTGAGATTATGCATTGCCCCACTTCTCCCTTTCCAGCTTGCAGAAAATATTACTGGTTATGAATTTCAAAAAGGAAATTCTTAAATAACATAAAAATCACTGTTTTTAAAAACAACCAAATGCAGTTCACATTCTAGCCAAAGGTATAACTTCAATAACTGGCAAATACATTACGTAAAAATCACTTAAAATTCAGTTGTTTTATGAATGTTTCTTGCCATTTTGATGTGACAGAAGTAAAGAAAGGTGAAAGAAATGAGGGCATAAGTACAGAAGGAAAGAAAAATGGTTAGAATGAAGTAAATATTAATTGATGCTGTTATTTAGAATTATGAAATGTACAACTGACTGAATCAATCAGGAGGTAGTGATATAATTGGTAACTAATGAGAGCACCTGGTATTTATTAACAGTGATCAAGACTTTGCTTGAGTCCTGTCTTTCAGAGATAATTGTTCTGAATTTTCAGCTTAAGTCTCAGATTTTCTTTAGTACTCATATAGATTTTGTTTATAAAACATTTTGGAACTTGGTTCAGCTAATTCATTAACTTTTGAAGTCACTTATGCATTTTTTATTTTATATATCTTTTAGGTTGCTTTTTAGTTTTCATGTACATTTTACATAACATTTTTTTATGGGTTTCCCTTTTTACAAACCTAGGGATACCCAGGTCAACCTGGATTTAAAGGAATGAAAGGCGATATGGGATATCCCGGCTCATTAGTAAGAAACTGTTTTATTGCTTTTATTTACTATAAATAAAAAATTTTAAACTTCCATGGCCTTTTTAAATTTTGTAAAAATATGTTGAGTTTCATTTAAATATGCTTACATAAACTACCACAGGTATTGTGTTACATCTAAGCTGTATTAGTAATGTTTCACATCATCAAGTATTAGGTCGTCAAGAAATTAATGTCATGTTTTGGAACACTTTCATTAACCATCCCCCCAAAAACGTACATTACGTATAATAATTAAATGAACCGCCTAAATGTCACATTAGTGTAGCCTATATAATATGTAAAGTTTAGTATACTCTAATCCCTTATAGTGATGGCACACAACAAAACACACATTTGACATGTAAAGTTGTTTGAATACAAGAAGAGAAACAATGCCTCTGTAACCACAAAGAATATCAAAGAAGTTTATGGAAATGTTTTGAATGTCTGTAAATGTCAACGATGATTCAGCAAATTTCGTTCAGGTGACTTTAGCCTTAAAAACTGTGATGGCAGAAGCCAACATGTTGGAATTGATACTGATGCTCTGAAGACGCTTGTTGAGTCTAACCCAAGGTAACACACTCGTGAAATGGCCCTGAAATTGTGTGTCTCTCATGAAGCAGTCTGTAAACATCTAAAGAATAAGGGAAAACTCTATAAAGGTGTTTGGGTGTCTCATGAATTCTCCGATGATCATTGTTACCAACATGTGAACGTTGCTTTGTCTCTTCTGGCGCGTGAACCATTTTTGGAAAGAATTGTCAACGGTGATGAAAAATGGATTCTCTATGCGAATATTAAATGCCAAAAACAATGGCACAGTCCTAGACAAAAACCACTTCCGACCCTAAAACCTAGACTCCATCTGCAGAATGTGATGCTTTGCATTTAGTGGAAAATCAAAGTAGTAATTCATTTCGAACTCCTCAATCCATATTTAACTGTCAATGCAGAGATCTGTAGTCAGAAAATTAAGCCCTTCTTCAGGATCACCTTTCACTCATCAATCGGAATGGTGTGTTTCTTCTCCACGATAAGGCACGTACACATGTGGCATGTTTGATGCAACACAAGATTATAGACTTGGGTTGGGAAGTTCTCCCCCACCCACCATATTCTCCAGATATGGCATCATCAGTTTACCATATTTTTCATTCGCTGCAACACCATCTTAATGGGGAAACATATGCAAATGTGGAAGATGTTAAAGAGGACATCACCATGTTTATTACTTCAGAGCCAAGTGTTTTTTTAATCAGGGCATTAAAAACCTGATTGTAAGATGGAAAAGCAGCATTGATAAGAATGGAGACTATTTCATTCAATAAATGTTTTGTTTTGATATACAAGTAGTTCTGGTTTTTTCATATAAAAAAAGTGACATTAATTTCTTAATGACCTAATATGATCAGAGAGATCAATTTTTACATACAGCCAGATAAGTTATAAGATCAGAAGAAATATCTTTATCATCATGTGTTTTAAACAAAAACACTAAGTTTTTTGATTTTTATGTAGAATACCATGTGATGTAATTTTTTGTATTGGATATAATTTTTCATATTGTTGTAATACCTAATACATGCCTTAATTGTGTATATAGAACTTAAACTATAGCAAATGCAAATACACAAGGGTTGTCTTTGTGAAATTTTCTGAGGAGAAAGACATTCAAAGAAATAACTATGGCATTTAATATCGTATGTTTGTTATGAAGGGTGAAACAGGGAAAAGAGGATTTGTTGGTGAATTTGGACAAAAGGGCCAAAAAGGTGAATCTGGAATTGATGGAATAAATGGGATAATTGGCCCAAAGGTAATGAATTGTTTTTTTATATACATTAAAATGCTTGGTATTGAATAACAATTGTGCAAAATATATGTTGTTCTTGCATTACATCATTTAATATAAATTCCATTAAAATCAGATCAGAGAGTATTAAAGTGACTTATATATATATATATATTGTATCAAATGAATATATTAGTAATCTCTCAATAAGTATTTGTTCAAAATTAACCTTGTTTTGGAATTGCAGAATAATATAAATTTGCTATTGCTTCTAGAAATTTAGACTGATTGTATACTATCACAGTGCACTTGTTAAGTGTATAAAATTTTTTATTTTTTCTAAGATGTTGAAAGCTGACTTTTCTTACACCTGTATTAAAAACAGTTGTTTTTCCTAATTTAATAATGATTAATCTAAGGTACATTTTGTTAGATTATAGCTGTGCTAGCTAATGTTGGAAAAGATTTAATACGATTTATTTAAAACATTAGAGGATGAAGTGTTAATTTTAAACACAAAATCAGTTCCGGTGTGCAATGTTTATTTTGGCTAGTTAGTGATTTTAATGTGTAGATTGACTGGTTACATGGACAGGAACACGTAGCATTATGTAAAAATTGATGCTTACTAAACATACAGAAAATGGTTTAATATAGAAATACTTTACAGCTAAGAACTATCACACTTCAGAGTTTCAATATTATAACAGATCAAAATTTATTCTTTTGTAAAAGCTCTTATTTACCCATATATGATTCAAACGTTTCTCAGAAGCATGTACAGGAAAATTACTGTTCACATATTAGCTTATAAATGCATTTTCTCAAAACTGTATCCCTTCAAACACTGTCTTATGGCTAGTGAATCATTGTTTATAATTCTGTTTTATGATGTATTATCTGTGATATCCCCCAGCAAATACCTCTTACTCATAAAACAAAAACAAGGAACTGACAATTAACAAAGTAACCTTCAATTAAAAAATAAAATAATACAAAGTTTTATACATAACGTCAATATTTTGTTTCCATTGTGTTTTTATTTCAAATTATAATTGTATACAAACAACATAATTCTCCAATAAAATAAATCAAACATTGTCTAAAATAATTTACTTACAGGACCATAAACACTTAACTTTAGAACAAATATCTAAGGTGGTTTTTGAAACAAATCTTAAAAATGCCTAGCTTTAAGAGTTACAATTTTTTAACCTTCTCTCACACTAAAATATAATATATAAAATCTGTTCCAAAACTAAGTTGGGAATATAAAGCTATGTGCACCTGGATGACCCAATTTGTTTTCCATAAAAGGTCCTTTTACAGCATTTGAACCTTGGTCTTAACAGGTGCAAAACCAGAGTTAGAACCTAACCTCTCAAGAGCCAGATTCAAGTTCCCACAAATAAATTATTTGTGTTTTGATACATAACCCTGGGTCATTCCCCATTTAACATTTTTGACACTCCTCAACCAGTCAAAAACTATTATAAAATGTGGTGCAGTTTTGTAATAGTTTTCTATTTGTTATTAATGATTAATCCAAAGCCAAACAAATGATTCTTAATATAGACATGCATACAATATCTTCTCTGTTTGAAAGTATACCTTCACTGACCAGTTATCTTCACATTAAACCAGTTTAAAAGAGAACCTCAATATGTGGTAAAATTGTTTAGCATTGAAATAAAAATTAAAAAAAAAGATGTTACCTGTTTAATTAGAACAATAATAATTACAGTGTAATGATGTTATTATTACCATATCAATTTTCAATGTACTTTAAGGACTACTTGCAGTCAGATCTTTATATACTGTGTATACTTAAACTATTTATTAAATTCCAACACTCAGCTGTTATAATAACAGTAAAAACATTTCCTTAAACCTGTAATTAATGTACTTTGCCACAATGGGCAATATACTATAATATTGAAGAAAACTATGAAATGTTATGGTATTTGATTACATTAAAATCTATCAAGACTGTTAAAATATTATCAACTTCTTAGTTAGTGTTTCTGAGTAACCTTTTATATATGATCGTGGTTAATAAATAAATAGAACTTTCTGTGTATTTGAATTAAAGAAAAAACTGCTCATTAGAGTAGAAAGGTTTTTTTTATCATGTGCATGAGATACACTGGCATTTTTTTTCACTGCAGGGCTTTCCAGGGTTTAAAGGATGGCCTGGAAGACCTGGTCCTCAAGGTCCTCCAGTAAGTACTTCTGAAATATGAAATTAATTTTTCAATTAGCATAATTTAAAAAATAACAGTAAATAATTGCTTATTTTATTTAATTATGTGTCCATTGTTTTCTGTAGTATAAAAGGCTCTTACATTAGAACTCTGTTGTTATAAAGGTGCCTTTTGATTATACTTTTAGAATAGGCACAGAAATGATGTTTAGGAGAAAATTACAAGATTAGATGGTTATATTCCAATGTGGAAAATTGATTATAAGAAGGAAATAGAATGCTATAGTTTTTGTTTTGTTTTTTTGTGGATGTTTATAAAGCTGGCCTGAAAGACCTGTTCCTCAAGGTTCTCCAGTAAGTACTTGTGAAATATGTAATCAATTAATAATATATATATATATATATATAACATACTTTTCACAAGAAACTGTATTTTTTCATTTTACTTTTATATTTTGAGGATTTCATTTTTCATGATATGAAATTGAGACAACATACTTATGTTTACTGTCACAAAACCCAAAACTTATTTTCTTGCGTAAAAAAATCTCATAAAATTTTAAAGGGACAAAAAGAGCTTATTAGCCCATCAAGGATGTCTCTTCCAGCTCCCAACTATAACCATATCTTACTATTCATGTATTCATACAATTTTTTGTGAATTCAGTTAAATTTTAAGCCTCCATTACCCTTGAAGGCAGCTCATTCTAAAAGCTAACCACCCTGTTTAAAAAGTAATACTGCCTAAACTGTAGACGATTCCTATGCTGCCAAAATTTATACTTATGACCTCTTGTCTTATTGTTTTCACTTCTAAACATAAAAAAAATTGATGGATCTATATTATCAATACCCTTAATAATCTTAAACACCTCAATCAAATCCCCTTCTCTAGAGAAAACAAGTTTAGAGACTTTAGTCTCTCCTCATAGGAAAGTCCCACCATCCAAGGTATTATCCTAGTGGTTCATCTCTGAACCTTCTCCAACAATTCGATGTCCTCCTTTAGGAAAGGAGCCCAAAACTGTATACAGTATTCTAAATGAGGCCTTACAAGTTATCCATGGAGTGAAACAATAATAACTCTTGTCTTTTATTCAATATTGCTATAGATGCTACCCAAAATCCTATTAGCCCTATTGCTAGCTACAATACACTTAAGTGATTTTTTTTATCACAACACCAAGATCTTTTTCTTCAACCACAGTATTTAATGTATTCCAACTTAAATTGTAACAGTAATTTTAACTGGGAAAACCTACATGCATCACCTTACATTTTGGATAGTTAAACATCATCTGCCATGTATTGGCCCAATATATCAAATGATCTAAATCTCCCTGTAAGTCTGCGGCATCTTTGATACAGTTAGTCACCCCAAAAATTTTAATGTCATTTGCAAACTTCTAAATTTTGTTAGTCATTCCAGAGTTAATATCATTAATATAAAGTACAAACAGCATAGGACCCAGCACAGAGCCCTGAGGCACACGGCTTGTAACTGTGATCCAGTCAGATCTAACTCCATTTATTACTACTCTCTGCTTTCTACTTTCCGGAAAATTTTCTATCCAATTTAATAACATTTCCCCCACACCCACAGATTTAATTTTTGTGACAAGTCTTTTGTAAGGCACCTTCTCAAACACTTTTTGAAATTCAAGGTAAACCAAATCCACAGTATTTTCTTTATCAACTCTTGCAGTAACATCCTCAAAGAATGTCAAAAGATTTGTTAAACAAGACTTTCCCTTAGTGAAACTATGCTGGCTCTTTGACTGTATATCAAACTGCTTTAAGTGACTCTGCAATGCATCTTTAATCACACTCTCCAAAACCTTTTCAACTACTGATCTAAGACTAACTAGCCTATAATTGTCTGGACAATGTTTATCACCTTCTTTAAATATTGGATTAAGATTGGCCAACTTCCAAACTTTTTATACTCTTCCACTACTCAGTGACCTGTAAAAATTATTAGCTAGAGGTTAGCAAACCAAATCTTTAAGTTCCTTTAAAACTCTAGGATAAACGTTGTATAGTTCAAAAGTTTCCCAACTTTTCTCTTACAATTTCTAAACTTAAAATGATATATTTTACATCAATATTTTCCCCATACTTTAGGTGCTCTGGTTGAGGTATAATACTTGTTTCTTCTTTTGTAGAAACTGAAGAGAACATATGATTTAATAAGTTTACCATCTCATAATGTTTCGAGATCAGCTCCCCACTATCCTTTTTAAGAAACCCAATCTCCATCCTAACCATAATATCATATATGTAAAGAATTTCTTATTGTTTGATTTAACTCTCTCAGACAAACCTCTTTCATATACAGTTTTTGCCTTTTTAACTTCCTTTTTAACCAGATCTCTTGAATTCCTTTAGTCCTCCAAGTCCTTAATATTTCCATTAAGTTTAAATTTCTTATATTTATCCCTAATATGATTTCTTAAACCTTTGCTGAATCATACTGGCTTATTCCACTCTGTTGCCCTTTTTTTTTCTGTAGGTAATATGTATGTTCTGTATGCATATACATTTTTTCCTAAATCCTTCCCATATCTGTTCAAAATCTCCTCCCAACTCTTTAGTCCAATCTACAGAAGCCAGATCATGTCTCATTCCATCAGAATTGGCTTTCCTAAAATTTGGAATCAAGGTACTATTCTTCTTCAATTCTATATGTAGTAAAATTCCAAACTTAATAGTGAAATGGTTGCTTGTACTTAAATGCTCACCAACCTCAACTCTGTCTATCATATTCACATCGGATGCTAATATTAAATCTAATGTAGCTTTCTCTCATGTAGGTTCCATCACCAGTTGGTGTATAAAAGTATCCTGAACAATTTCCAAAAACCTATCCCCCCCTCACTGTCAAACTCAAAATTTTCCCAATCACTTCCCATGAAATTAAAATTTCCTATAATAACATTATATTTTTCAGCTACCATTCTGATCTCATTATACGGTTTCTCATGAAGTTCCACATTCTGACCTAGTGATCAATAACAAATCCCACTGACAAGACTTTTCCCTTTATATCCACTAACACCAACCCAAACTGACTCAACCTCAGTGCTATTTTTTTTTTATATGCTCTAACTTAGCAGGATGCAATTCACTCCTCACATATAAAGCTACTCCTCCCCTTTCTTCAATACTCTATCTCTAGTAAATAATCTGTAGCCTGGTACTTCAAAAAATGTCTCTCCTCAAAATTGTTCAATTCAAACCAATTCTCAGTGATACCCATAATATCAAAATCCTCAGTTTCCACAACTGCTTTGAACTCATCAATTTTATTTCGAATACTCCTACTTTACTAATATCATAGCCTTCACCTCTGTCTAGCCCTAGTTTAAATCAACCACTACAGCTGAGTTAATAGCCCTTGCTAACATGCTAGCCCTTGCCTTGTTTACGGGTAAGCCATACATTCCAAAAAGATTAACTTTCCTTTGAAAACTATCGCACAAATACAACCAGTCTATTTGCTCATCCCTACAAGCTCAATTACAATTTGTGTTGTTAATTTTTATATATATATGTGATATTTATGGATTTTGGAAGCAGTATGACAGTTTATAATTTTGCTTACTTTTGTCATGTAAAAATTGTTTTATTAATTTATAAAAATAATTTGTTTTTGTTTTTTACAAAATAGTCAGCTGGGGAAATTTAATGTACAATATTTGATCCTATATTGTAGTTGTCATCTACACATTTGCTTGAAATTTTTATTGTAGTATAAATAGTTTACATTGTGGTTGTTTGTTTGAAGTTAAGCACAAAGCCACACAATAGGCTATCTGTGCTCTGCCCACTATGGGTATTGAAAACCAATTTCTAGCATTGTAAGTCTGCAGACATACCGCTGTGCCACTGGGGGGGCTACATTGTGTTTTATATTTTTTAAATTAACATCAGAGTATGCAACTTAATGAGTCTACTGAATTAACTTTTTCATGATTTCTGTTTTTTTAGTAAATAGAATTCTAGTATTTAAGTAGGCAATGTTTAATGTTACTGATAAAGGCCATAACAAATTTTTCATAAATTGTAATACCATCAAAATATTGTAATTTTATGAATACACCAAATGAAGGCATAATCTTAAAAATGTCAGATATAATTATTGCTATAACAGAAGTAGAACTGAAAAATAGTCTTTTAAACCTTTTTTCATTAGTCAAAATTTCACATGTTTCCAAACAATACTGGAAGAAAATGATCTCTGTGTAAGGGATACAGCTATTGTTTTGGTATTTGTGGTTAATCTGATTTCTTCAAAGAATATTAGATAGGTCTGCTTTATAACAGAAGGATTGGCAGGATAAATTATGAAGTAAATCTGAATTTAACTAAACTAACTGAGTTCATGCAAAGAAATAAACAGGCTGGACATGAAGTATTATACCAGATGAAATGATTGTTATTTCATGTCAAAGGCAAAAACACTGTGCATATTTGTGATAGGATACTGGACAGTTGCCTTCTGTTGGACTTGTGAGTTGATTCTGTTTATACTCTAAACTAATATTCCTTGTTTGATGTAAGATATTGGATTTCTCAAAAGAACTAGTCCTTCTCGTATGCTGGTAATTCTCATTCAGCATAGGGGAGGCTGTTACCTCTGTATATCATCAGTTCTAGTGAGAAACGTTGTTGTCATTTGACCTTACACAACATGCAGCATTGAAGCAGTATCCCTGTGGGCAGAACAGGTATTACATTTAGGGAACAATGGAGGGGAAAAAGGAGCTAGAATAAAGTCAACTTTATAGTTTTCTGGCAAAAACTGCATAGTCAGAATAAACAAAAAATAAATTTTAATTTTAAATAATTTCTAGTAAATCATAAATATCTGTGCTGACTTATTCAAGTTGATTATTTTAGGTTATTAGTTAAACATTTTCAAACCTTGTTTCTGAAAAATTGTTGAGTTACTAAGTTAAACAGACTGAAGCATTGGAAGCATAAGTTATAGAAATTCTGATTTTGATAATGAATGTGTATTTGAAATATAAAACTTTGCCATTCATGGTTATTTACAATTTTAATATAATCCTAAACTTATTTTTAGGTTATTGCATCATAGTATTTTTACCATTGTTTAGGTTAAAAGAAAAGCTTAAGAAAATATTTTTATTTCTGTCAGGGCCCACCAGAGCAAAAAATAACAAATGGAGATCCAGTTCCTGGCCCACCTGGGCGTCAAGGTCCTAATGGTTTTCGAGGACCACGAGGAATTCCAGGTTAGTGGATTTTGATCCATTCCATCAAAATATCAGATCTTTGGTTTTAAATCTATATTTTGTTGTATTTGTTTAAACCAGATGTTTCTTGTTCTTCTTTTTTCTTGTACTTGAATGGAATGATTGATTTTATACTGGACAGACTTTTATCTCTTAAACTAAATTCTTTGTATTTAATCTAAATTCATATTTTGAGTTAAATATTAAAATGTGTAGCTAAAATACATTTTTATGTAAAAAACAAATACAAATATTGTGAATGTTGCATGTGTACACAACTATTTATATGAACAATACAGGTATGTTAAAACATATGTGACCTATGTAACATATATTTTAGGATGAGCAAGCAGGGTCATACCCAAGAATGTTCACAGTCAAATGTTTGGCATACCAACTCTTATTTTTAATTATCAAAGCAGGAGTACTGCTTTTTTAACTGTTTGTGAACATTGTAATCTCCTTAACTTTCCACTATATTAATATTTAAGGTAAGCCTGGAAGAGATGGATATATGGGGATAAAAGGAAGGCCAGGTGAACCAGGACCTCCAGGACAGAAAGGTGAAGAAGGCCCTCCAGGATGTAGCCAGAAAGGAGAACCTGGAGAGAATGGTATTAAAGTCATAATATTATGATAAAGGAACATGTTCTTTAAAAACTATAAATTTGTATTATATTTTCAAACTTTTAAGCCTAGTTAGATTACTGCTACACTCATAGGTGTAGGGGCTTAATTTTGACTTGGGGGGGGGCAAACAAGTTTTGCCTGAAAATATAAAATTGACTTTAAAATCATGCACTATAAGGTTTAAAGTCACTTGAAAAAATGGTTCCAATGACTTCCATGCAAAACCATATGGAGCTAAAGGTTAAAAAAGGTGCAAGTGAAAATGTCATGTGTGGGTAATACATTTTCTGAAAAGGCATAATCAATTTGCAAATATACAAGTTTGCAAAAAGTTATATATGTACAGAGCTTTCGGCGGAATTTTTTGGGTGATTTGATTTTTGCCCAAAAAATTATTTGGGCCAGAATGGGGAAGGGGGCAACTGCCCCCTTGACTCTCCACCTCCTATGCCTATGACTACACTACTATTGCAATAACTGTAGTGTAAACACACAACTTAGATATGTTTATAGTTTTATTATTACATGACCAAATGCTTGAAAAATTTTGCCAGTTGTGTGAGTACCTGTGACATCATATTCCAGTAGAGACGAACATGAACTTATTCAAGACTGCATACAATTACATGGAATACATACACATATCTGAAATAACCAGATGTATCACATAGCACTGAAGTTTCACATTTTTAGAATTAAAATTAATTTTAAACAAGTACTCTTTAAAATACTGAAAGCTTTGTTAAGTGTGAGCTTATATTGTCAACAAAACATTACTCAAAGTTTTCAAATGTTGCGTTGTTGTTAACATATTCACATACCATATATGTCATTTACCCATAATACTCCACTGTCTAATCTTCCACGTGAGTTATCGCTGATGTGTGAGTGGATCTTGTGTACGTTGTGCATTCCTGCATTAAGCCAGATTTGTTTGTATACAGTAGTCATGATGAAAGTTTGGTTGTGGAGAGGGAAGGTATTTCAGAGGTAAGTAAGTGTTTGAAATTTACACTTTCTTTCTGAGGCATTCTATCTGTTTCATGGGGATTTTGGGGGATATCTTCCTCCTTTTTAACTACATGTTGGCACAATTGTCATCCTTGGCTTTTTCCCTACTAATGTGGCCTCTTTGCTTTTGGGATCTTCTGGGGTGGGATTCTGTCTTGTATCAAATTTGTTTCCCTTCTGCTTCTAATATGGACTTACAGATGGTTCTTTTTTTTAGGGGGGGGTGTAAATTTAGCATCATATGGGGTATCCATATTGCTACATTCAATTTTTTCTTTCTTTAGTGTTCATTTGTCTTTTTGACCACTGCATTCTTTATTCATGTTCCATGTCCAGCACCTTCCCACCATTTACCTGTCCTATATCTAAGAGTTCCTCCATTAGTTTTGTATTCTTGATGCAGTTTGGAGTTCTTTGATTGATCTGTCCTACCTCAATCACTTCTTGGTTCTTTTCCTTTTTGCCTATATTGTCTTTAATCACACTATGGTGGGCCTTTTCTCTAGGACTGTGGATGCCCATGGTCGACATTCCTATTTTTCATCTCTCATTGCACTGTCTTAAATTTGTTCACCATGGGATTGGGTACGAGTTTCGTGCCTTGACCTTAAAGCTTGTTTCAGATCTGTATATCTTTGTCTCTGACTCCTCATCCACTTGCCTTGGCTGGTTATGCATCTTGACAGGATTTTGACCTGTTTATATCTTTCCTTTCTCAACCCATTCATCATCTTCTTTGGGTGATTTCTTTAATCCTTGCCACTCTATGTCAGGTTTATCTGATTGCTTCTTCTAGCT